TTAAACTTACTGGATAATCAGACTCACATTTACCTGGTTGCCAAGGTTTTACTGATCTTTGACACTGACATGGAGCTAACCTAGATAGAATTCAATCTTAATGTCCTATGATGTGAATTATATCACAAATAGGATAATGTCAAAATCTTGGGAGAATGAGTGACAGTTCTTGGTCATTGTTTTATTGTTTATTGCAATCAATTCGCAGTCAATGTGGCAAACATAACTACAAAGACACTAGACAAATGATATAACAAAAAATATGTAACACATCATCCAACTATGAGGACTATAGAAGCTATCTAAAATATATTACTTGGTCAAAGCCTAAAATCAAATAATAAAGTTGTTAGCGTTGTCCTAAAACAAAACGAAATGAAATGAAATGTTGCTTTCCCTTAGGATCATGGTTGGGCATACTTATGCAATAAAAATGAATACATTTGTCTTTGACATTATAAATGAAACAAAACAGCACAATTAACAATCCAGAGGATGCTATAGCTTTGGTGAGCACCAAACGTCAACTGGCAGTGGATTTTCACAGCCGCAGAACAAAATTTAGCCCTTGAGCAGGTAACATTGGTCCCGATGTTTGCCTGAAGAAGTAAGATATATACTTCATCTTCTCTCTGTGGTAGATCCTTTAGAAGAGATGGGATTAGAGTGGCATGTAAGTTGCAGTACAGTAAAATATGCTGTATTGAGACCACAGAAGCAGAGACATTCTGGTGATCCCGATCCTCAATAATGAGAGACAGGTAACAGAGAGTGCAAATATTGTCAAGTTGGAGCTTTCTGACAGGTGACATACATTTCATTCAAGATTATATTATCTTTTATTATAGAGCAGTGTTTCTCAACCTTGGAAACTTTAAGATATGTGGATTTCAACTCCCAGAATTCCCCAGCCAGCCACTCCCCTTGCCTTCTCTCATCTCTGACCCCCTCACATGGCCAGTTATTTTTTCTCCTGCTTCCTCTTCTCTTCCATCTCACACCTGCTCCTTATGCCTCTCCAAACTATTGTCTTCCTTGGGCATGCTCACCCACCCTTCTACATTTCACACATTGCTGTATCCCTGTCAGGGTTCATTATCACTTCCAGGTTGTCTCCTGACAAGAAAGTCCTAGCTGAAGGAATCATCTAAACAGGAGAGCAGGAATGAAGAAAATGTAAATGTCATGCTCATTGACAGCTGCCTAAATTTAAAGTGATTCTTTTCCAAGGATGATTTTCAGAGTTCATTTTAGCAAGAGTTATTGCGATAGACGGGATGGGATTACAAGAATTCTAGCAAGTGAACTACAGGTAGTCCTCAGCTT